GGGGGACTTACCTGCATCCAGGTTGAATCCTAGTCGACCCTTTTATCATACCGGTATTGACTATACGGGGCACGTTCTAGTAAAAGTGAACAAAGGTCGTGGCATCAAAACTGATAAAGGATACGTGGCAGTATTTATATGTATGGTTACAAAGGCCATACATTTAGAACTTGTATCTGATCTCACAGCGTCGGCTTTCATTGCAGCGCTCAGGCGTATGTCAGCCAGAAGAGGAGTTCCCGGGCACATCTACAGTGATCAAGGGACTAACTTCATTGGAGCCAACAAAATCCTAAAACAAGAATACGCAGAAATCTCAGAAATTTTATCAAGTCAAGAAACTTTGTCGAACGTTGCAGAAATGAACATTGAGTGGCATTTTAATGCTCCGTCATGGCCTTCCGCTGGCGGGCTTTGGGAAGCCGCGGTGAAAAGTTTAAAACATCATCTTAGGCGTGTTGTTGGGGAGCAAAAACTCACCTTCGAAGAGTATAGTACGCTCTTATCTCAACTCGAGGGCTGCCTAAACTCTCGACCACTTTGTCCTTTGAGGGAGGATGCTGAAGACATAGACTTTTTAACCCCGGCACACTTCCTCGCAAGTGGGCCCACCTTAACAATCTTTGAAACTGAAAATGATCTTAGAACTCGGTGGCACATGGTACAAAAAATCTATAAAGATATCTGGGTCCAGTGGAAGAACGAATATCTCACGCAGCTATCCACTAGATCTAAATGGCGGCAATCTCAGAAAAATCTCAGTCTCAACGATATTGTTATCATCAAAGATGAAAACCTCCCGCCTGGGAAGTGGGCTCTAGGGCGGGTAGTTGAACTTCATCCTGGTTCAGACGGACACGTCAGAGTTGTTACCCTTAAAACCAAAAATGGTTTAATAAAGCGGCCTGTTGTTAAACTATGTATATTACCAGCTGACAGAGACAGTAATCCTATTAGTGATACGAAGATTAAGGATGAGGAACCAAGGCAGAAAAGTACAAAACGGATCTCATTCTCGACTATAGCTCTATCACTAACGCTATTCTTCTTGGCACTAATAAATGTATCTCAAGCTACTTATAGTTTCACCCCTTTGAGCAACAACAGCGTTTATTTCGATAAAATCTCAAATATGCATCTAATACGAGACGATTGGCATTTAATTGTTTATTATGACACATATCCCTACAAAGAAGGCACGTCAGCACTCGAGAAGTATATTACCTATCTTGACACCTTATGCTCCACTATCAAAGAACACACACCTTGCGACGGTATCATCTTACAACTCAGGCACGAGTTCGATGAAATTAAACACTATGATAGTATGTTGACAATGAATGAATCATTTGTAACTGGAGACGAGCGGCGGCGCCGGCGTCGCGGATTAATAGACGGAGTAGGCTACGTCGCTAATAGCTTGTTTGGCGTGCTAGATCAGCGTTTTGCGGAGAAATACGCACAAGATATCGACCTTCTGAAGGAAAATGATAAACATTTGTACAACCTCTGGAAAAACCAAACCTCAATCGTAGAAGCTGAATTTAATCTGATGAAAAGAATGGAAAAAGCTGCGAGCAAACATCACAAATCAATAAATCAAAAGTTTATTTATCTCAAAGAATCCTATCAAGATCTTCATCGCCACGTCCAAAACATGACGCTAGTTACCGACTTCTTAGCATCCGCCATGACAGCGAATAATTTACTGTATAGCCTTAGGAAAATACAAGACTCCATTCTTGATACGGTAACTAATATTTATAATGGAAAATTGGACTTCCATTTGATATCTCCTAAACAGCTGAAGACGGAATTAAGTTCTATAGCAGCACATATCCCTAAAGACATGTCACTTCCTGTCAACCATTTGAATCTCAAAGATCTCTACAACTTAATAAAAGTGCGGACTAAATACTATAGTAAGTACTTAATCATTGAAATAAGAATACCGCTTATCGAAAGAGACCTTTATGAAATCTTTAATCTGATTCCAGTTCCACGAATTTTGAATCACGATATGATACATGTGAAGGTTATCTCAAGTTTTGCTGCCATTAACCTCAGAAAGGATTCATACGTAACCTTTGCTGAGGCTGAGCTCCAGTCTTGTATAAAACAAAGCCCTGGCATGGTCTTATGTCATACTAAAAACCCTATAAATATTTTAAAGGATGATCACAGTTTGTGTGAAACGATCCCACACACAAGAACCTGTGAAATTACTGGAACCCCATGTAAAAACATTTGGAAGGAATTGACAGCGGACCATAAATATTACTATTTTTGTTGCAATGAATGCAACTTTAAACTTCTCTGTGACGGCGAAACTACCGCCGTTAAATTGACAAATGCAGGTCTGTTGAATGTGGAAGAAGGCTGTATGATAAAGACGAACCAGTTCGTTGTCCAGTCTACTAAAAGGTTGTCTAGCAAAATGAGTATTGGTGCAAGAATTGTTGCACCACAAATTTCACCTATTAATCATATATTTAACATATCTATCCCTGAATCCCCTGAAATTAATCCTAATAATTCTGAAATAATACGACAATTTGAAGAAATACAGAAACAAATTGAGATTATGAAGCAAACTGAACCTTTGAGGGATAAAATATCATATCACGACGTACATCATTATAGTGTCTTATATG